TCTATTTTTTTTTTTATCTTTCTTATTTTTTTTTATTTATCTATCTATCTATCTATCTGACTATATCTATCTATCTATCTATCTATCTATCTACGTAGAGTAACCATTATTTCTTAAAATAAATTAATAAATTAAAAGTAACTTATTTTAGTATTGTTTTGATGTTCATACATGCTTAAATGAATGACTGAATAAATAGTATGATTTTATTTATTTACTTGTCTACTTTTAGCATGATTTATTTATTGAAATAAGTTAATACTTTTCTTTTAATATTGTTTTGAAATAAGTAAATAAATTAATTAATTTAATTACTTGTAAAGATGCAAAATGATCATGCAACGTATGTTGATTTCTCAGATAAAAATACAGCGTTTCCCTGCGTAATTGTCATTATTCAAACATATTTAACTGCTGAATCTGACCAATCAGAATCAAGTGTCAGAGAGCCATGTAATAACAGGAAAAGCATCAATTGATGAGCCGCTGCATTTACATGAATGCAATTCAGTGAGATCTCGTCTTTAATAAAGCTCATATCTGACGTGCTGCATCAGACACACAGTGAAAGCCTGAGCCTTTAAAAGCCTCACACCTTTTGTATGCGTCATCTATAAACATTATTAAAGACACAGTCTGACACGATTTGTCTAGACGTCACCCAAGAAAATATCTACCTACACAAACCAAATGCCAGTGGGGTTCAGTCTCTGATATAACGACCCATATGTTTGTCTTTTTTTTTTTTCTTTTTTAATATTAGCTTTTGAAAACACAAGCACGGTGAAATTGCATGCAATCCATTTCAGAGCTGCCATTAATAAAGTTCCTCGGGCTGTTGCATTCGCTCTGAATAAGTAAACGCACAGAGAGAGATGTGACATTAAGAAGCCACATTATACCACAGGCCAAAATCCATTACAAAACAAAAACAGAAATGCTGCAATCCGAATAATGGACGACAGGCTAATAAATGTTTCATTCACACACCTTTCAATATGGTAATCAAATGAATGATATAATTATTCATCTCACTGTACAGATGATTGAGTATGATTTTGGTGACACAAATGCTTATTTCTACTCTACAAACAATTTTAAAACTAAACTTTTGCCGAATTGTTGTGACTGCTGTCCAATTCTGCTACAAGTAAAATTCACTTCAAAGCAAACGGCTGTAATAACATTGTCGTCTTCTGTTCAGGCTGAGACATGTGGAGAGCAGAAAGAAGCTTAAGTGGTTACGAGCATCAAACGGCACAGTTTTAGCTTCCATTAGAGCAGAGGGAGACGCCGTTTCTTATATTGATTGTTTGCTCTTTATGGCTAAGAGTTAAAATCACCTAAACGTGTCAGAAATACAGACCCTTTTTCATCTGCAGCCTCATCTGTTAGCTGGTCACTCAAACCTGGCTGAATTTAGAGTAGTTTTAAGCGTTTTACAGTGGTCAGGCTGGGGAACCGGTCTGGGAGACAAGCTTAAACCAACTAAAACCAGCTTAAACCAGCAAAAAACATTTTATTTATCTACTTAAGTAACTGTATGGAAATACTTTATGAAGTAAATTTATGAATGATTTATTTCGTTTATGGAAATAAATGAATGAAGTAATTTATTTTAGTATTGCTTTGATCTTAAATAAAATAAATGAATAAATAAACGACTTGCATTTTATTTATTTACATAAGTAACAAATTTATTTATTGATATAAATTAATAAATTCATTTATTTTAGTATTGTTTTGGTGTTCCCACAAGGTTAAATAAAGAAAGAAAGAAATATATTATTAAATATAACTAAAGAAATAAATATATTCATAAATATATCTGTAATTTATTTAATGAAATAAATTAAAGAAAGTTATTTTAGTATTGTTTAATGTTTTATATAAATAAAGTATTGGAACTAACTAATTTATTTATTGAAATAAATTAATAATTTATTTTAGTATTGTTTTGATGTTCATACATGGATAAATAAATAAATAAGTTTACTTAAGTAACTAATTTATTTATTGAAATAAATTAAAGAAAGTTATTTTAGTATTTTTGAGGTTTTATATAAATAAATAAATTATTGGAACTGATCTTAATACATGGTTAAATAAATAAACAAATACATACATTTTCATTGTCTTGTACAGATACAAAATAGTGAGACAGAATATGATCACGACAACATCGAAAACACGAATTTTTCAGATACAGGGTAATGGTTATTATTCAGAAATATCTGACCAAGGAATTATTTTGAATATGTTCAAAATAAACAAATATGTATTATTATTATTATTATTATTATTATTATTATTATTATTATTATTATTCGTTTTTATATTTCTGCTGCCTTTCCATTATCTGTGTGCCTTTCCTGTCACCAACCTCAGATACGAAGATAATATTCACATGGAGTCATATATTTATTATAAATATTGACATATCTTGCATTCACGTCAGTGAAAGACTGAATTGAGACTGCAGGGTTGATTCCCGTCAATAGTCACTGTCACTTTAGAGGCTCCGTCGGCCTGAAGACACTCACGTCACCTTGCACCTGGTAAAGAAATCGATAACAGCTCTTTCATGCAATTTGCAAGATAGTCTCCATCCACTAAACTCAAAGGCATTTCATCTCTAAAACTTAATATGAAGGAAACGTAAATGTCACAACCACAGGTGAAAAATATCAGAAATTCACTAAAAGTTCTGCATTAAACACAAGCACAGAAGAGCTTCATACAAAAAAAAATTTCAAGTTCAAAATATGTGAGCATTCCTCTGACTGATGTATATCTTGATCATGCATCATCAATCAAAGAATAACATATAATCAGTCGCCTCAATGCAGATCATCTGCAAGAAATCTGTGAGCTTTTGGCTCATGGGACGAGCATTTGTGCAATAATTCAGAAACAACTGCATGAAATATTCATACATCGATTCCACAGATTCTAGGACTGCGAATTACTGAAATAAATTAACTTTTCCACGACATTCTAATTTATTGAGATGCACCTGTAATGCAGAGACTTGAAGAAATTTAAGAAACTTAAGAAATATATCACACAGTCTTAGCAGAGAAGAAAGTGTGTGACCTCCAGCAGAATGTCATCGCTCTTTATTCCAGAAGAAACATGATTGTAAACATTGATGTGTGTGTCTTAGAAAAGTGCCGATGTACAAGCTATTAACCTCTTTCACTTCAGAGACAAGATCCAGCCAGTCTCATCTGCTCAGACCCTCCACTCTCTCACACACACACACACACACACACACACACACAGAGATGAAGGGCACTAATGCAGAGGAACAAGACGGGGTACCATTATACTGTTTTTTACTACAGATATGATGTCTATGCATGAAAAGAAAACAACTTTAGTAAGAGAAACAAAAGAGCATGATTTAGGATTATTTATTTCAATAAATAAATCGCAGTAGTTGCTCAGCTGGTGCAAAACTATCAGAAGTATGTGACTATCTTGAGCTGTGATGGAAAAGGCAGCAGACGGAGGAAAGTCCTTTTAACACTTTTAAGAGTGACAAAAGATTTAGATTTCAAATAAAAGCTGTTCTTTTGAACATTTTATTCATCAAAAAAAAGTATCATGGTTTCTACAAAAATATTCTGCACTATTAAGCAAAAACTCTTTCCAACATTGATAATAAGAACCCTTATTAATAATTGAGCACCAATAATAACTAAGCAGAAAATCAGTATATAAAATGATTTCTGAAGGATCATGTGACACTGAAGACTGCAGTAATGATGCTGAAAATTCAGCTTTGAATCACAGCAATACATTACATTTTAACAGATATTCACATAGAAAACAGCTATTTTACATTGTAATAATATTTCACAATTTTATGTTTTTACTGTATTTTTTATCAAATAAATGCAGCCTTGATGAGCAGAAGAGACATTAAACAATTATTAATTATTCCAAACTTGACCAGTAGCGTATCTGTATACTAGCATATAAATGGCCTCAGAGCTAACCTAATCTTCAATGTTAATTGCATAGGGTGTTTAAATCATCAAACTGTGGTCTGAGATCTACAAAACCCTGTCAGGTTTGTATATGCATGTGAGACAATAGAGTTAAATACCTGCAATGTATTGCTCTCATCTGATGTCCTCAGAGAGTTTATGACATTACGATCGCATTGTCGAATGAGATCCACGCCATGTTTTCAAACAAGATACTTTATCATTGAACTAACACCATGTCCTTTCCACTATTTCCCAAACATGACACATTTTCCTCTTGACTAATTCAAATATGTGTGTTCAGTATGGTACTCGTGCATGTGAAACCCACACAGAAAAAAGGCCATAAAGCCGAATGTCCAGTA